AGAATTGCAAGATAAAAAGTTGCAATTATCTTTTTTATTTTTTTATTCCATGGTGGAAAAAAAACAGAATTGCGAGATGTAAACTCAGAATTGCAAGAAAAAAATCACAATTCTGACTTTTTTTCTTAGAATTGAGAGTTTATATCTTGGAATTCTGAGATTATTTCTCGCAATTCTGTGTTTGGGTCAAAGACGAAAAGGGGTTTAAGCATAAAAACAATAAGTGTAATACTGCTATAAATTGTTGTTCCTCAAAAAATGTAAAAAGTTTTATGTTTAATTTAATTGCAATTTTGTTTTTCCGAGCAAAAAATAAATAGATGTGGACATCTTAACGTCTTTGACCCGTTTACATCTCAAAAAAAATCTAAATTGCGAGATACAATGTATTACTCGTTCAAGGTGATGTGGTGTGATGGCAGCACTGCAGTACCTGTATGTGGTGATTTCAATCTCCAGCGACATCTTAATGTTGAGCAGATCCTGATATTCTCTCAGCAGCAGCCCAATCTTCCCTTTAATAGACTTCAGTTCCTCCGTTAGAGTCTCGATACGGATCTATGACGCATGATTGAGTGACATCTTCAAATCAAATCGAGTGTAGCTCACTCATGAATGGTTGTAACATGTTGCTATGAGGTTGCTTTCTGGGTGGTTGCTTGATGGCCCAATTCAAAAAAGTGCCCACCCTGGGTCTCAATGATATTCTGCACTAGAAAATGACTGGCTGCATTCGAAATGGCATACTTCCCTATACTATAGTAGGTGAAAAGAGTTTACAGTATTTATAAAACAGTAGGCAAAGGGTAGCAAGCTACTACGTCCATCTAAATTCTGAAGTGCACATATTGACACTTTACTATCCCATGAGTCCACAGGAGAGGATTTGTGAATAGAAGTGTAACAACGAAACTATGCTGGTAGGTGCAGATTACATTTTTATTATATAGAATGTATTTTTTAACAGCCGTCAAGTAATTACTTAATTAAGTACCTACTTAATATGTGATTTTGGATGTAGCCATTGTGACATGTTCTCTTTACATTGAAGGGGGCGTGGCTTTACCTGTAGCTCCTCCTCCTCTTTCTTGTGTCTCTCCTGTGCTTCCTGGATCTGGAGCAGCAGTGCTTCATTCCTGTTCTTAAGGGCGTCCAGTTCTCTCTGTTTATTCTGAATCTAAAAACACACATGCATTAAATTTATAAGGCAGTACAGTTTGGTGCTTTTATTAAATGAGGCACAGGACAGGATTTCCCACACCTCTCTCTTGTAAGCTGTGATTTCCTCTCTGATGCTCCTCGCTGTGTCCACATGCCGTGATGTAGCTTTGTTTAGATCTTGAAACTTTGCTTTATACCAAGCGTCCATCTCCTAGTGAACACCGGTCGGGAAAAACATTAGCATTTGTGAGCAAAACAGTTCAGTCTAAGGGATATTGAGGTTTATATTACCTGCAGGTTTTGGGCAGCGATACTGTCATATTGAGCCTGGATCTGTTTGAGGGCGGATGCCAGATCGGGCAAAGAGAAGGCCACATCTACTTTAGCCACAGATCCATAAATCTGAGCCATCAGCTCCTCGATTTCCTGACATACAGAACACAGTTGTCAGAATATTAATTCAATTATTTACCATATTAATGCAATGAAATACCCAGTGATTAACAATAAAATCACATGTTAATTTTTTAACATTGATTATATTAGCACATTGTTAAAGTAATGGAAAAACATATGTTGCCATGACTTGTATCATTTTTTACAGTGGATACAGATTATATTTATAATATTATCTATGTTTATATTATTCATAATAATATGATGATATATATAATATTAGATAATATTATATTTAAATGGCCTGCACCTTTTTGTGAATCCTCTGCAGGAACTCAAGCTCCACTTCCAGGTTTTCCAGTCGTTTTTCCAAGGCAATTCGGGCGGATGTGGCTGCGTCCACATCCTAGTAGACAGAGGGAGTTTTTTGAACCCCAATCATTATGTAAAACCAAGTGATGTTACACTTTGTGTATTAAGTTGGACCTTACCGGTCTGAAGGTTTCAATTTCAAGCTCTGCCTTTTTCCTGACCTCCACAGCCTCCTCGTATTTCACCTTCAGCATTTCCAGCTGACTTGCCATGGCATCCTTTGCTGCTACCGCCAGGTCCTACGAAAGCACAGGTAGATACTTGCTAGAAATGAGTGAGTTATGGTCTAAATGCGTAAGTAAGTCATAATTGGCCAGTGGTCATCCCTCACCCGCTGGACTTTCATTTGGTCAGCAATCCTCCTCAGCTCCCTCAGCTGGTCCTCATAGAGCAGTCGCAGACTGGACGGCTTCACATGGTGGCTCTTGATGCCCTCAATTTCTGCCTCCAGCAGCTTGTTGCTCTGCTCCAGAGAGCGTACCTGGAACAAGCACACTCAAACTCACAGGCTGGTCTTCAAAGTGGAAAAGCAAAAGGAGAAGATGGAGAAGTGTCTTACCTTCTCGATATATACAGCCAGACGGTCATTGAGGACGACCATCTCCTTTCTCTCACTGGTGCGTGTGCTGAGGAAAGCCTGGTTCTCAGCGGCTGCAGTGTCCAGGTCCACTGCGCCTCCAGCAACCCCCAAACCCATGCCCAGACACAGCGTTCCCATACTCACACTGCTGTAGAAGGACACAAAACATACATTTACAATGTTTACTATTGTACTTTTTTTTGTTTTTTTAATAATAATACAAAGTAATACAAAATACAAGCTATTTGACCAATTAAATGATCAAATATAGTAATAATGAAATAAAATCATTATTATTAATGATATTATATTATATGTTATTGTTATATTATAGCCCAGGGGTGGCGAACGTCGGTCCTGGAGAGCCGCAGCCCTGCAGAGTTTTGCTTCAACCCTAATCAAATACACCTGCACAAGCTAATCAAGGTCTGAAGGGTTACTAGGAAGCTACAGGCAGGCGAGTTTTTATTAGGGTTGGTTAGACTGCGGCTCTCCAGGACCGGAGTTCGCCACCCCTGTTATAGCCTATTACAACCAGTGTTATTTTAGTATCATTGATATACTATAATATTTTTATTAATATTTTGAATTAGATTTTATTTTTACATTTTCTGTCTTGTGTTTTTAGTCAAAGTTTTAGTAAATTTGTTTTGTGTTTTTGTAATTTTTCTTACCTTTTTTAAAAATAAGTCTATATAGTTAGTTTAACCATTTAAACTAAGTTTTAGTTTTTAGAGTTAGTTTATTTGGTTTTTGTTGTTTTAGTACTTCAACTGTAACTAAACAGAAATGAGAATTGTTACCCTGGCAACTAGCTGAAATATCTATTATATTTTATTTTACTTAAATTATTGTTTATGTTATTTAAAGTAATGAAAATGTAATATTATATTATATTATATTATATTATATTATATTATATTATATTATATTTAATGCTGTCAAACGATTAATCGCGATTAATCGCGTCCAAAATAAAAGTTTTTGTTTGCATGATATATGTATGTGTGCTGTGTATATTTATTATGTAAGTACACACACATTCATGTATACATTTCATAAAAATATGTTATGTTTATATATTAAATATATTTATTTATAATATAAATTTTATGAATATAAATATAGACATGTAAATACATGTAAATATTTTCAAAATATAATATACTGCATGTATGTCTTTATATATACATAATAAATATAGCTACACCGAACACTCACATATATTATGCAAACAAAAACTTTTATTTTGTATGCGATTAATCGCTTGACAGCACTAATATTATATTATATTATATTTTTGCATTTTGTATATTTTTATATTATATTTACAATTTGTTGTGTTTTTTTTGTCATTTTTATTACTTTTTTAATGTCTGCATAGTTTTTAGTTTTTGTTATTTTAGTAGCCTACTTAGACCTGAAGTAAACAAAAATAAGAAATGTTATAGCTGAAATAAAATAAGCGATGATATGATATGATATGATAATGGCATACCTGGTCATGCGTGATTTGCGGGATCCGGAGAGCGCCCTGCGTCCCATAGTGCCGCTGCGGGTGTAACTGGCGGAGCGGTGGCGCGCGGCTCCACGGGTGGGAGAAGGGCTGGAGACCCGGACCTGAAGCGTGGAAGAGGAGGTCAGGACACCCTCGAAGTGACGGCGGTACGATGACATCCTTTCTGGGCTTTGACTCATGGTGAAGCTGGTGGTTCCTCGCGCGTCTCCAAAGATGCTCCAGAAGCGTTGTGTCCGCACTCATTGATGATGGAGCTTTATACCTGCTGTCCGGGCGAGGAATGTCGACCCTCCGCTCAACTATCTGACGGGCCACCGCGAAGAGCTTTACCGCGGTAAAAATAGACGAGTGAGCTTTCCTAATGGAGATGGCAAACCTGAGAGTGAGCCTTATACTAATGAAATTCTCTGCGCTAAAACTGTCTAAAAACTCGGAGACTGAAAGTGCTGGTGACGTCATCAAGGAAGAGCGTGCTATAATCGTTATAGAGTCACTGTATTATGCTCTTGAAACAAACAAGCAAACAAACGCACAAAGAAATGACACTATAATTATTATATAGGCCTACATATAGCATCAAAGTGGCATGAAATATTATTTGTTACATTTAAATAGTTAAATAATACTAATACTAATAATACAGTTTATATTATTTACAATAATTATATTCTATGACTCTTTATATTTAATTATATAATATGGTTTTCTATTCTATTTATTATTTAAAGTTGATTATCATCTTTCCCATTTTCATATGAACTTGGATTATATTATTTACAATAGTTTTATATCATGAGCTATATATTATATATATTTATATATAATAATAAAACAACAGTACTATAATATTATCTACAATTATATTATAAGAAATGATATGATATGATATGATATGATATTAAATGAAAACAAGAAGAGCGCAGGAATCTGTCCGGAACTCATGCGTAGATTTGCTTCCTCCCGGACCGTTTTCTTGTGCACATTTAAATTCCACGGAGTGTTGTTTATGTCGCGCCCCTCGTCTGCTTAATTCAGAGTATCGTTTCATTTTAACACAATTTAAGATCACATTAAGGCTAATTTTCTACATCAAACACCTCAAGATGGCAGGGAACTTCTGGCAGAGCTCACATTAGTAAGTAGAGACGAGTGTTGCTGTTGCTGCGAAGCTGTAAGAGAAATAAAAACATACAAATTCACGGATTTGCCTGATTATAGCTAACTTTTTACCAGATCTTGGTTAATACCATGATAAAGAATAGATACTAGAATAAATGTCTTTTATTTTCGGAATAGTATAAATATCTGGATTATTAGCTTTAGCCGGCTGGCTAACTTAGTGGCTCTGGACTGAAGAAACCATAGAGAAATTAAATGTATGAATAATTAGTATAAATGTGTGTCATTCACGGCATTAGTTCATTTTCATCATTTTAAGTGATTTTCAATTAGTATAATTTTGTTTTGTTTTGATGCTTGTATGAAGTTTGGAAATGAAGTGACATTAGGAGTATATTAAATATACACTGTAATGCTGCTGTGTTGATTTATAAGTTATTCTTTTATGATTTCTGTATTTAAAGTGTTGATGTTTGTTCTTATCAGTCTGCAGTGGGTTCTGGACAAACAGGATCTGATGAAGGAGAGACAGAAAGATCTCAAGTTCCTCACAGAGGAGGAATATTGGAAGCTACAGATATTTTTTGCCAATGGTATGGAGATAAACTGTTTATAAATATGAATATGAGCCTGTTCTGAATTAATGCAAATCATCAGGTGTAATTCAGCTGCTTTGTATTTTATTTAAGATGGATTTTTAAGGAAATGTTCATTCAAAGTCTAAAGGAATAAACCTTGTCTTGAAACACTTTAAATAGTTTAATTTGTCATCTTGTGGCAGTGATTCAAGCCTTAGGGGAACACTTGAAACTCAGGCAGCAGGTCATCGCCACGGCAACCGTCTACTTTAAGCGTTTCTACGCCAGGTGAGCAGGTCGTTTTCTTGGTTACAGCCTTTACTTCCTCCGTAAAAATTTATAATTGACTTTTAGATTGATGGCTCTTGTGTTTTCCAAGTGAGGGTGCTACATTTATTTTCTGTGGCTTTTTTCAAGTACACTTACGTGAAAGTAAAAGAAAGCTCTTGGCTTGTTTTCAGGTACTCTCTGAAGAGCATAGACCCTGTGCTGATGGCCCCCACATGTGTGTTTCTGGCCTCTAAAGTAGAGGTAAACACAGTCTCGATATTGGAAATTTCTGCTGAAAGATGCATACATTTGAATTTTAATGTAATAAAATTCTGTCCTTAACAGGAATTTGGTGTTGTTTCGAACACACGCCTTATTTCAGCAGCAACGTCTGTGTGTAAGTGATTTATATTTTACAAACTCATCAGACAGGATCATATATTACTACAGAAATGCATTTTTGAGTTCCCTAAAGCTGAATTGTACAACATGTGCTTATGATATTCAAAGTTTAATATAAAGTACAGGGTTTCAGCGGGTCTCAACAAGTCTTAACTCACCCTTCCACAAATGAAGAGCAGAAAATTTTAAAATCATAAAGTCATAAATGTTGCATGCACTGGGGAAAAAACAAAACGATTGTCTTCCTTAGTATTTTTGTTTTTCAGTACAAATGTCTAAACATTCTTAAATCAAGATGCATTTATTTGAGATGCAAATCTATAATGAAAAATTGAACAAAATGATGTGAGTTTATGCTTAAAACCAGAACTGTCAATGTAGTTTTCTCTCTAAATTAAGTCACTTTTTCTGAGCCCCTTGGAAGATGTTATGGTTTCAAACCTTCAATAATAAACTTACTTCATTTTGATCAGTTTTACTGTAAACAAGATCTTCTGTCACTCTGCTTCTCAGCTAAACGATTTAAGTATCTTTAGGCATTTGCACTGGAAAACAAGACAAAATGCTACTGATGAAGAACATCACTTTTTTGCAGTGTGATCAGAAGGAGCAGTAAATGTTATTTCCATATATAAATGAATAAAAAATGTGTTGCAACTCATCGTGTGCTCTCTAGACATTTACATTTACATAACATATTGACGTGTTGCTTCAGTTTATTCCTTACATTTTCTTTTCTTGGTCTTAAAAAGGTCTTTAAAAAGCTTTAAATATATCTACATAAAACCTGCAGAAACCCTGAAAGTTTAACTCAGCATTTCATTAAAACTTTAACCATAAAATTTAACTTTTTAGACATAATCACCAAATCTCTCTTGGGAATCCCAGATCGCGATAAGCATGCTGATTTGTCTTTCTCAAGATTTCATACTAATATGGAATAAATACATCTTTCTCTATTTGTAACAGTGAAAACGAGGTTCTCTTATGCCTTTCCAAAGGAGTTTCCCTTCAGAATGAACCACGTGAGTCAAACTTCTGTGCTTTGCTACAGCAGAAAACGTACGAGACACTGATCTGGCATGTAGGCGAGTGTGAGTTGTACCAGATGGCCTTGTTGGTCTCTTACTGAGAAGAGTTTCTGATTTTGGAAATCTGACAGCGTCACTAGAGATCTAGATAAAAAGTTCTTGTAACTGTCAGATTCATATGATGGAAACGCTGGCCGAGAGGCTGAGATTGTGTGTGTGTGATGATGCAGTCACCAAGTTTCTGACACCCAATCAGGAGTGACATTCCTCCCCTTACGACACCTTCGTAGGAAAGTCTCATTATGGTGATAAATGACTGTTGGCAGCTCGTGTCTCGGGCTGGTGATAAGTGCGGTATGATTACAAACAGTGTTATTTGTTGGGGACGCCTCTGGTCAGGTGCTGCAAGGAAAACATCTCAGAGGTGTGGTGGAACGTTTATGGATCATCGTAATGGGAAAGATGATCATTAGTGCACATAACATATTAGTGCGACGATTTCGCAGTGAACTCACGCTTCTCTCTGTGTCTAGATCTTGGAGTGTGAATTCTACTTACTGGAGCTCATGGTTGGTATAGATTCTTCTTCTTTAGGATGTTTAGATCTTTGTTTTTGCCATCTGTTCATGGATGTTTGGTTTGGATTTGTTTCAGGACTGCTGTCTGATCGTGTACCACCCTTACAGACCGTTACTGCAGTATGTGCAGGACATGGGTCAGGAGGACATGCTGCTGCCGCTGGCTTGGTGAGGAGTGTGTGGCTTCAGACGGCATAAAAAACGAACAACCACTGTTCATTTTGCCTTATAAGTCTGTTAGAACAGTCCAAGTTGAAATAAGATAAGTTGATAAGTTTTCCTATACAAGCCTCTTGCTTCTGAATCTATGCATCTCCCAAAAGCTCTTCGGTTTTTTATCCACCTTGTTTTTAACGTAAGAGCAGGTGCGGCCATTTGTAACAAATTATTTATGTACTGCTATATTTTTGGTTAATGTTTTAAATTATTATTATTATTTATTTATTTATTTTTATTTTTTTGTAATTTTGTTGTGTGTTTTGCCATTTTTATTAGTTTTTTTCCTTTTAAATATTATTATTTGTTTTTTTTTCTTTCAGTTTTAGTTCAGTTTTGGTTTAATTTTTTAAAAAGTTTTTCATCTATTTATATTTTAGTTTGAAATTATTAATATTATTATTATTATTTTTTTAGTAATTTTGTTGTGTTTTGCCATTTTTATTAGTTTTTTTCTTTTTAAATATTATTATTTATGTTGTTTTTTTTTCAGTTTTAGTTCAGTTTTGGTTTAATTTTTTAAAAAGTTTTTCATCTAATATTTATATTTTATTTTAGCTTTATTTTAATTAGCAAAAATGTTTTTTAATAGTTTTAGTTTTAGTTAACAATCCTGGCTTCCAGTTATGTTATGGTGCTTGATATTGCAAACTTGTATTTCTTATCATATTTTTTATTTATTTATTATCTTTATTATAAATGCATTGGTTTGAAGCACAGATAGTTTTACCATTTACTGCAGGGTTATTATAGTTATAGAAATAGTTGTAGAAATAAAATAACTGAAATAAACAAAATTTACTAAAATATAACTGAAATACATTTGTATTTTTTTTATTTTGACTAGTTGCCAAGGCAACATTTCTCATTTTAATTTAGTTTAACTTGATGTATTTAAATAACTAAAACTGAATAAAAATTAATAAACTATAGACATATGAACAAACAAAAACTTCTGAATATGACAAAAACTCACAACAAAATGAAAGTTGAAAGTTTTAAAAAGATGAAAACTGCAAATATAAAAATAACTGATTCAAAATATTAATAAAAACTATAATATATCCCAGTGATACTAAAATTACACTGGTTTACTGCATTTTCTTTTTCTTCTAGTCATTTACCTATAGCAGCTAATGAATCGAAAGTCTTGCACAATCACAGAAAATAGCTTACTTCCGTGTTGCAAAATAAGCTGAATGAGTGAACATGAATGTCCTGTGAATGTGTGCAGGAGGATAGTGAACGACACCTACAGGACAGACCTGTGTCTGCTTTATCCTCCATTTATGATTGCACTGGGTAAGAACAAACTTCCTACATTTAATCCAGCAGGTCTTATGCTTGCAAAGAAGCAGAAAATTGGAAGTTTTAGATCCGAATAACTGTATAAGAAATGGTCATGTCACATACCAGTGGGCAGAGTTACAGATTGTGTCTCCTTCCTCCTCCAGCCTGCCTGCATGTGGCCTGTGTGGTGCAGCAGAAAGATGCCAGGCAGTGGTTTGCTGAGCTGTCTGTTGACATGGACAAGGTAAGACACGTCCAGCTGTAAAATGAATGAATGTTTCTGTCTTGCTGTGTACATTAACACTGGAGCTTTTCTTCAACAGATCCTGGAGATCATCAGGGTGATTCTGAAACTCTATGACCAGTGGAAGAACTTTGATGATAGGAAGGAAATGGCCGCTGTGCTCAACAAGGTGCCCAAACCCAAACCCCCTCCTAACAGGTACGACAGACTGCAGACCTCAGTTATCAAAATCACACAACACTATATTTATTTATATGGAAATAGCCTGGAGTGCTTATTTATTTCACCATTGCAAAGAGAAACAATGAAAAGAGGCTAATTTTATTACTCCTTTTTTATATATATATATATATATATTACTCTCATTCAGTGCAAAAGCTCTTCTTGAATTCTTGAAAATGTCCTGGATAAAAGTACAATTACAGGATTATAGTACAGTTATATATTTTTTAAAAATGTCTTAAAGGGTTAATGTCACAGTTTTTGAAGTTGAGCATGCTTTCACACTTGTGAATTTTGCACCGCAATTAACATGGCTATGAAGCCCAATTATATTTTTGTATTATTTATAAATTTTATTGTATTTATTAATATTTTGAATTAGTTTTCATGTTTATATTTTCAGTTTACATTTTACGAATTTTATGTGCTTTTGTGATTTATTTATTTTTACTGTGTCTATATAGCTTTAAATTTGTTTGTTAAAGTTTAAAGTTTTTAAAATATAAGTTTTTCATCCAGTATTTGTTTATTTTTATTTTATTGTTTTTGATTGTTAGAAAAAAAAGCCCTTTATTAAAGCCTGTTCTATGTTCAAATATTATTTTCAGTTTTAGTTTTTTTTTAAAGTGCTTTTATTTTTTTTTCTTGTTTACTTTTTAGTTTTTTTTATGTAATTATTTTAGTACTCAAAATTATTCGAAAAGTTTGGAAAAGTGGAAAAGCCCTTTATTAAAGTCTGTTTTATGTTTAAAGAAATTTTATTTAATTTTTAAGTACTTGCGCTTATTTCAGTTAGTTGCCAAGGCAGAATTTCAAAATTTAGTTTAAGTTCCAAGTTTTTCATCTAATGTTTATATTTTATTTCAGCTTTATTGCAATTACCAAAATGTTTGGTAATTTTAATAGTTTTAGCTTTAGAAAAGTGGAAAAGACCTCTTTCACCTCATCTCACTTCTGCGCCTGTATTTTCTTGCTTTTCTTACAACAGTGAGACTGACCAGAGCTCAAACGGGAGTCAAAACAGCTCGTACAGTCAGTCCTAGAGTGGCCCCTGCTGGAGGACCTGAGGCGGAGTGATTCAGAGAGGCAAACACAGCACATCCTGGCACATCTGAATGCTGCTTTTCACAAGCACATCGTTTTATGACCGTGTGGAAAAAACGATTCCTGGCACACACATCCTCTCTTTCCTCTCTTCTGGGTTCTTCCAGCAATCAGAGCAATCACAAACGCACCTCATTGGGTATCTGCTTGATGAAGAGGGGTGCTGTTTTCCCAGATCGATGGTCCTGACTTCCTTGAAAAGTCCCATTAGGCTTCTTTCAGCGGATGCTCTTTGGGAACTAAGAAAACTTGATTATTTTCTGTCTGGGAGTGACGAAGAGAGAGTGTGTGTGTTTAATGGCAAATATATTTGTATGCGTGCCTCTCGTTGACCATATCACAGTTTGTATTCCTCAGGGAAACGGATCAGTCCTCTCTACAAAGTGGCTGTCTGTAAACTGATTGGCCACAGGGCTATGTGACGGCGATCTTTTGAACCCTCGTACTGTGTAATCAAATCCTGATTGGATATTTGACACACGTGTGGATGTGAGTTAGAATGCACAAGTGACAGATAGTTGAGTTGATCACAATATGCTTCAAACTGCATTGTAAATATGCTTTCCATTTAAAGCCCTTGACTTTGTTTTTATCATTTTTGTCTTATTATAAAGTTACTGTATGATTATGCTATGTGTACTTGCCATAACCCAAATGCTGTTTTTTTTGCTTTCATTTTGTTTGTTTTTTTAATTGATGTCTCTGTAGCTGCAGCACACTGAAGTATCCATCACGTTTAATGGAGGACAAGCCAATATCTTGAGGGTTTTGGAAATGTAGATCTGCATCTTAGGTGTGGTTATCAAGTCCCTCACTTCCCATCATTTCCATCTCCATTATTAGTTTGAGGGACACATAACTAATTGTGGAAGGACCTCAAAAGATTTTACAGTACATACATGTTTGGCTGTGTTTGAATGGAATTTTTGTTTTTGGTTCTTTGTTTAGCTGTGCTTCAGGAGTGTTGCCTCATCTTTATTGAGTGATCTTGCATAAATGTGGCCCTTCTCCGTGATGCAGTGTATGTATTATTTGCCTGTATATATATTTGATAATGTGAGAGCTGTGAAAGGTGAGAGGGCTTGGAGTGTTCTCATTTGTTTGTCTATAATGGAGCTCAGAAGCCTTATTGAATAAAGCTGCTGTTGAAACAAAAATTACTTCTTTTTTTTTTTGGCATGAAAAGTGTCGTGTTAAAATTATATATTTTATATATAAATTATATATAATTTAATTATTTTATATAATTATATAAAATAATTTCATATATTTATAAAGTTTTAAATTTATATTAAAATAATTTTATATTTTAATGTTATATTTTAAACTTCATTTTAATGGTGCATTGGCAACTACGTGAAACTTACTTCAGCTAGTTGCCAATGCAACATTTCTCAATTTCATTTAGTTTAACTTGATGTAGGGTGAATTCAGGTAAATTGGGAAACTTTTTCCTCTTTAAAATGACTGACAAAAATGTCCCAATTATCATGAATTTACCTACTACCATAACTAATAAATAAATCAATTAATTAAAACTAGTAAAATCGACAAAACACAACAAAATTACTAAAACTTTAAAATGAAAATGAAAACAGAAAATGTAAAAAATAAAACGGAATTCAAAATATTAATGAAAACTATAATAGTATGTTTCAATGATATGAAAATAACTGATGTAAATAGTACACAGTAATGCTTCGTTCTGTGGGCTTAGTTGCAAAGTTACTTTATCAGCTGTTTCTTGGAACAAAAGAATGAAACATTTATAAACTACTGATTTCATATTATGAGCTATTATGAATTTTTTTGTTACCAAACTAGTGGATCTGACCAATGAGAGTGGCGAAACGGCGCGCTCGCCCCGCCCCCTCGCAGCATCAGCAGCCCCGCCCCTGGTGACGTACCGCGCTCAGCTGTGCGGTAAACAGCGGCGGCGAGCGGCTGCGGATTGATGCCGACCCCACCGCGTGGACGGACGGTCAGCATCAAGAGGCGACATGCCTACTGCTGCTCCTCACCCGTTTGTCCTTAGACCCTCTGACACCCACATCCTCACCACCTCCACCCTGCGGCACTGATGAAGCCTCCTCTGTCGAACCCACACCGGGCCGAAGGGCGGATAGAGGAGAGAGAGGATGTACTGGCGCGTCGGCTTCGCCTGGAGCCGCTCCTGCGCGGTTGAGCTGGGCCAGAACAAGAGCCTCTCGCTCGGCTTGTGCGGCTCTGAGGAGCATCTCTCGTTGTGTGGGTACATTATCGCCTACCCGCTGCAGGAGTACGGAGGGATCATGTCTGCGTTAGGATTCGACTCCTGGTGGAGGAAAACGCTCTACATCACCGGGGGCGCGTTGCTCACCGCCGCTGCCTATTTACTACATGAGCTGCTTGTCATTAGGTAGCTATTATGGAATCTATCTATCTATCTATCTATCTATCTATCTATCTATCATTGCCACCCATGCAGCGTTTATATATTAGCACTTTATATATAAGCACTGCATAGACAGTAATACTAGTAGTAGTAGTGATGATAATGATAAAAATAATTATAATTATTATTACTACTATCTATGCAGTGCTTGTGCTTTTATATATATTTAATAATTTATAGAAATATATGATAAAATATATTTATTAAATGTTTTAGATTTAATTTAATGTTTATATTTTAATATATTAATATTTTAGATTTTATTTAATATATTATAAATAATATTTAATAATAATTATACATAACAATAGTACTTGGTATTATTATGATTATTATTATTACTATTTATGTAATGCTTATATATTTTAAGAATTCTCCTTTGTGTGGAGTGAGAGGGGCATGAACAGGGTCTTTAAGTAAGAAAAATTACCTAAATTAATATCCTGGACAATCATGTCAACAGAATGCAATGCAGTCCATTCGTTATCCTACACTGGAGAGTGATGAATGAATACCTGCTAAGTGGTTGAATTTTGAGCAGGATGTTATTTTTTTTTTACCTCGTCTAAAGTCTGAATGTTGACATGTTGATGTGTGCTATATCAAGGGCATGGTTGCAGGAGCGTCTCTATGTGTAGGCCTTAAGGATAATATCTCCTTGTGTTATTGTGATGTGACAGAATGACCTTTATGGACTCCTCATGAGAGCATGTAAATAGTGACCCGTCAATATAGTGATCAGAGCTAGCTGGGTTTAATTCTGTGCTTTTGCTTTGTCTCTGACCTTTGCAGAAATGGCAGTGCTGTTAGTCCTCAGCAAAACATCTCAGGTTACACAAGGCCCTGGGAAAGACTTGGTGTTATTTGACGATCATTCACATGAGCTATTGATTCAGACATGCATTACACAAATATAATTACATATTATTAATTGTTTTAAGATCAGACACATAATCATAAGTACAAAACTGAAGAGAAAACACTATTGACTATGATGCTTTTAATGTGTTTCAGCACCAGAGAAGTGGACAGCGACTAAATCCTGCTGATAGAAAACACTAAAGACTGAACTCTGAATCGATCTGAAGTGTTCCTAGTATATTTCTGGTGCATTTTGAAACAAAATGGATAATTTTAGGATTTGATGAACTCGGTTTAAAAATGATCAAATGTAAAAAAAAAAAAAAAAAAAAGAAAGAAAAAAAATCCCATAGACATTAAAGGAGGTACCTGAATAGGTAACCAGAATATTCAGAATATTAACCATAAAACACATTAAAAACAACCTAAAAATCTATTTCCCATAGACATTAAAGGAGGTACCTGAATAGGTAACCAGAATATTATAGCAACCAACCATAAAACACATTAAAAACAACCTAAAAATCTATTTCCCCCCCTACTGTCTTAAGTAATTTAATTTAATAATATACTTTCTTCCAAAGGCAATTAAAAGTATCTAATGGGCCCAAAGCTTTGCACAATAGATGATGCTGTATATGGTCATTTTGAAAAGTTTCTGGTGTGTTTTGAAACAAAATTGCTCATTTTAGAATATGATGAAGTTGGTTTAAAAATGATGAAATGTCCAAAAAAAAACAGAGACACTGAAGGAGGTAACCAAGCTATATATAGAGACCAAAATATTATAGCAACCAATCTGAAAACACATTAAAAACAGCATAAAAATATTTTTCCCCCCTACATAATTCAATTTGATAATATATTTTCTCCCAAAGTAATAATATGATTTCTACCATTAGTATCTAATGGGCCCAAAGCTTTTCACAGTAGATGGTGCTGTATCTTGCTCATTTTGGACAGATTCTGGTGCATTTTTCAAACAAAATTGATAATTTTATGATGTTTTAGTGTATTTGTGAACTGTTTGATCTCCATTAATTTCGAATACACTTCCATATTTGCTGCCCTGTAGGAAGGAACAGGAGTTGGACTCTGAAGATGCCATCATTCTGCATCAGTTTGCCCGGCCCAAGACTGGAGTCCCTAGCCTGTCCCCTTTCTGCCTGAAGATAGAAACATACCTGCGGATGGCGGACCTTCCTTACCAGGTATCAAAATATATGATGATGATGTTATGTTGTGAAAAGCGATGGATGTTTTTCAAACACACAAGCTATTTTCTCCTCAGAACTATTTCGATGGGAAGCTGTCTCCTCAAGGGAAGATGCCATGGATGGCGTATAATAAGGAGCAGGTGTGCGGGACAGAGTTCATCATTGACTTCCTGGAGGAGAAGCTTGGCGTGAACCTCAACTCCAGCCTGAGTCCTCAGGAGAAAGCCATCTCACGTGCAATCACCAAAATGGTGGAGGAACACTTCTACTGGTGAGAATGAGCTGGTTTTTCTTCACATATGGTCTAAATCACCCTGATATTTGAATAAACATCTTCAGTTCTTCATTATATTGTTGAAAGACAGAGATCAGATTCACTTTCATTAGTGGATTCCAACTTGAACTAGTTGAAGTTACTGAACGACTAAAATGTGTTGATAATCTAAATGCGATGCGCTTTGCTTTAGGACGATAGCATACTGTCAGTGGGTGGACAATGTGGAAGAGACACAGAAGATGTTAGCCACAAACGGGCCGCTGAGTGACCTGCTCAGATGGATCTTGAGTCAGGTGACCGGCAGCATCGTGAAGAGAGAGATGTACGGCCACGGGATCGGACGCTTCTCCAAAGAGGAGGTTTACTCTCTGATGGAGAAAGACATGCGCACCCTTGCCACATTCCTTGGTGTGTTTTGAACATCTGAGGCACAGTTTTTTTTAGCTTTATTGGCAGGATTTGTAGCATTTTAGTCATTTTTCATATTTAATCTAGATCAGGGGTCCTCAACTCTGGACCTCTGGACCTGGATCCACTTTCCTGCAGAGTTTCACTCCTACCCTAATCAAACACACCTGAACAAGCTCATCCAGGTCTGCAGGATTACTACAAAATTGCAGGATGGTGTTTAATCCAGGTTGGATCTAATCTCTGCAGGAAAGTGGATCTCGAAGTCCAGAGTTGAGGATCCCTGATCTAGATCATTCTTTTTTTTTTTTTAAACGGGTTGCAAAATAATGCAGCAATGGATCTGTGCTGCCCTCTAGTGCTCAGTAAGCCTAAATCCTCCTTTCACACTGGAAAAAAAAATATTTTTTTACTTAGTATTTTTTTGTCTTATTCTCCAGTACAAATAAGTAAAGATTCCTATATCAAGATACACTTTACTTGAGATGCAAAATTACTTGTTTTCTGAAAAATGTGAGGTTATGCTTAAAACAAGTGGGGTAATAAAAATAAACTTAATTCTAAGGCAAAACAAGATTATTTTTCTTACTCCGTTGACAAATATTTTTTTGTTTTAAGCATAAACAATTTTATACCACTTTATACATTAATTTTGATAAATTTGTCAGAAAACAAGACTCGAAGTAATTTTACTTTTCAAATAAACGTCTTGATGAATAATCCTGAAAGAGCATACTCTTACTACAAGTGAATTGCTATGAAAACTTTCCTTCATGGAATAAAAGATAAGGTAATTGCAACTTTTTATCTCACAATTCTGACTTATTTCTCTCAATTCTGAGTTTTTATTTCACAATTCTGGCATTTTTTTCTCGCAATTGAGAGTTTATATCTCACAGTTCTGACTTTTCTTCTCAAAATTGTGATGAAATAGACTCATAATTGCTAGAAAGAAAAAGTCACATTTACATTTTTTTTATTCCATGGCGGAAAAAAAACATGATGAGATGTAAATTTAGAAATCAGAGGGAAAAATTCACAATTGTGAGACATATTTTCACAATTCTGAGATCAAAATAGTCAATTTCAAGATGTACACTTGCAATTCGGAGGAAAAAAGCCAGAATTGTAAGATAGAAGTTTGCAATTATGTGAAAAACATTCATAATTGTCAGATAAACAAAATCGCAATTACCTTTATTATTTTTTTAGTCTGTGGTAGAAACAAGCTTCCATAGGTACCTGAGCCATATCTACAGACCAGAACATCATAGCAACAAACCAGAAACCACATAAAAAAAACATAAAAATTATTTTTCTATTGTCTTATATAATTCAATTTAATAATAGAATTTATCCCATAGGCAATAAAAAGTATCTAATGGGCCCGAAGCTCTCCACAGTAGATGCTGCTGTATTTGGTCATCTCGCTCAGGCCATGTGGACTCTCCCAGGGACACGTCCGGAGCAGTTAATCAAAGGTGAGGTCATGAACTTATGCTTTTTGTGTATGGGAATACTGTCATATAAAGTTTTGAGCGCATTAACTGACTGAAGCTGCTTCATCGGTGCAGGCGAGTTCATCAACCTGGCCATGTACTGTGAGCGAATCCGCCGCAAATTCTGGCCGGAGTGGTTTGTGGACGTCGACGACCTTTACTACGATGGACTGAGCGAGGAGCCGGATTCTCCTTCCCAGCTTCCGGATTTGGGTCTCTACTCACGCAGCGGCAGCTTCCAGGAGCAGGAAAGCGCTCTGTCGCACCACGACACGCCGTCACCGGACAGCGACATCACCGGGCGCTCTCTGTTCGACTCGGACATGGACACCGAATGCTCGGAAATGGAGCAGTTGAAGTGAAAACCATACCCTCTTGATGATGTATCTGCACGGGCCCCGCCCCCTTTGTTCTCCCACAAGCCCTTTAGCAGGGGAAGGGCTGGTCAAATAAAGATGTGGTGACATGACAGCGGTTTTCCCAGACTCTCGGCAATAAAGCCGACGGGAAAGGTATTCTGACACTTAATTTAATTAATGAGAAAGAGGATTTTATTAAACGAGGTAAGGTCAGGCCATAGAGAATCCAGGAAGAAAAAGTATCAAACAGAATAATAAAGATGGATGAAAGCGCGAGAATGGAACGGAGTGAATGACGCTTCAGCCGCATCACTCCTCCTGCGGTGTGACATCATCACTGCGCTTGACATCAGCAGAATGACATCATCACATGTGACCACTTCCCTTTCACCGTGTGTGTTTGTAGCTAAACAGCATTTCTTACAGCCTGGGATTTATTATTATAGCCTACGGCTAGACAGACAGAAAGAAGGGTTTTGGGTTCTGATTGAAAGATACTTGTGTGAAACAACTTGACTGATTTAGACGGCACAATATCTCATAGTCAATCTAAAATTCACGTCGTTTTATTCGGTCAAATCTACAAAGCTAAGACTGGAATATGCAGAGCGAGAAAACTGATGGATGGCTATTGTGAAAATGTTTTTATTTTCTCAAACCATTGCAGCGCAGCAGAACTCCCAAATTGATGATCTTGCCATTTTTATTTTTTATGGCCAATTATGCAATGCATTAATGAATAATTCAACCAAAAATGAAACTTCTGTAATTTAATCATCCTTATATCATTCCTAGCCTAAATGACTTACTTTATTCTGTAGAACATAACGGATACATTTTGAACAAATTTTAACCACTTATTTTCATACAATACATACAAAAGCATACAGTGACCAGAGGCAGTCAAGATGTAAAAAAGCACCAAAAAAAGTGGTTTATATGACTTATGCACTATATTTTAGGTCTTCTGAAGTTACATAGTGGCTTTATGTGAAAACAGCTTGACGTATGAAATAATAGTGCCAAAATTCTTCTTCTTCTTTTTTTTTTTAATAGAACCATTTATTTAGTCAAAATTTAAAATAAATAAATTAAAAAGTTAGCTTTTTTTTTTGGAGTATCATATTAGATACATCTGGCTTTTATGGCTCATATAATATATAATATAAGAGAATATATTATATGACTTGTGCACTATATTTGAGGTCTTCTGAAGTTACATAGTGGCTTTATGTGAAAACAGCTTGACGTATGAAATAATAGTGTCAAAATTCTTCTTCTTCTTTTTTTTTTTAATAGAACCATTTATTTAGTCAAAATTTAAAATAAATAAATTAAAAAGTTAGCTTTTTTTTTTGGAGTATCATATTAGATACATCTGGCTTTTATGGCTCATATAATATATAATATAAGAGAATATGGAGCTCATGCTCAATTTTATTCAGGTATAACAGACTATTTACATAAAATGCATATAAATATCAGTTGTCACTCAAGCCTGATGTATCATATTTGATACTCACATTTTACCATGATTTTTCTAAAAAATGATGTGTGGATAATCAAGTAAGCCTAAGTTGCTTCCGTCCAGTAAATATTCATCTTGAAATATAACTAACAATATAAAAGTTATTTTTATGCTTATTTAATAAAAATCAGTCACAGCAAAAAGACACGTGAACCACAACATTATTAGAAAGAAACTAAAAGGCCTTTTACTTGCTAAAAAAAAGTATAAACTATCAATCTGATGACAGAAGGCATGTAGTAGATTGTGTACAACAGGTTTTTCAGCACAGTTTTGATCATGTTCATAATTTAGAGGCTTATTTAACTTTTATGGTTTAATATCAGTCATATCTCATCAATACTCCCTGCACGTTTAAATGTGGACATATTATTATTTGATTTTGGGTGAATTATTCATATAGGAGCAAATACGGTGAATATATAAATAAGAAAATGGACAAATATGATCATTTATTTGTTTGAGGTTCAGTCTATTTTCAGTTACAAGAAAATGTTGAATGCAGCCATGCTACTGAAATCTATATCATGCGAGACTCGTGTATATGTTTGCAGCTGTTCTATGTGCTGAATGTGTAGCTAAGAACATCACTTGTGTTTGTCGAACAGCAAACAATTCAGATGGATCTGTGATTGTGCAAGAGCACCTCCTGTGGGCTGCATCATTATTTACTCCGACAGAAAACACTGGACCAGAATAGAACAGAATACCCTGGTAATGCAGCAGTGTTTCTCAAATGCAGCCATTACAGGAGACGCATAACACAATACAGATGGAGACAGACAGCTGATGTGTATGTGTGTGTGTGTGTGTGTGTCCATCTGCTGCATGACTGAGTCACTGAGTCATCGTCACACATGAACACACTCGCAGGAATGATCTCCTAGGGGCCGATGCACAACGAATGACACATGCAGGACGGGAGACTTATGTTTTTCTGTTCCGTAGTGAGATATAATCTGTATCTTGCTGTGCCGTACAAACGTCCTTCCTGTTGCCACAAAAACCCATTTAATATCTTGAACATAATCCTGCATTAAGATGCTGTCTATATAGAGCACTTATTAGAAAGAATGGAAAGTGTCTCGCCATTTTTACGCCCTTCAAATACAAATGCATTTATCTGATGTTTGTTCAAATGCAACATTATTAAGAATTGTGTAGGAAAAAACGATTTTAAATAAACATAAGCTTAATTAACTGGTGCTTTATCAGAAATAAAAGGTTTGCGTCCCAGTAATTATTTAAATGTTCCAAAGACTTAAAGGAACAGTTCACCCAAAAATGAAAATTTGCTGATGATTTACTCATCCTTGGGCCATCCAACATAGAGATGAGTTTGTTTTTTCCAAAAGAACAGATTTGGAGAAATTTTGCATCACTTGCTCACCAGTGGATCCTGTGCAGTGAATGGGTGCCGTCAGAATGAGAGTCCAAACAGCTGATAAAAACATCACAATAATCCACAAGTAATCCACACCACTCCAGTATATCAATTAATGTCTTGTGAAGTTGGAGAAAGCAATATTATTAATAGAGGACTCATATTTTAACCCGAAGCAATGGTTTGAAGTTAAAAATGTCTTAAAGATAAATTTGTTTCTTTTAAACACACAGATTTTCACTACACAATACATTAGCTGATGGACTGGAGTGGTGTGGATTACTTGTGGATTATGGAGATGTTTTTATCAGCTGTTTGGACTCTCATTCTGACGGCACCCATTCACTGCAGAGGATCCACTGGTGAGCAAGTGATGTAATGCTAAATTTCTCCAAATCTGTTCTGATGATGAAACAAAATCATTTACATCTTGGAAGGCCTGAGTAAATTTTCAGCAAATTTTCATTTTTGGGTGAACTATTCCTTTAAAGTATAAAGTCATAAAATTGGCAGCCAGTCTTGAGTAAAACCATATTCTTTCTTAAGATGTTTGTTTGTTTGCTTGTTTGTATTGTTCTTGATTTAAGACTGTGCCTGATTCTAAAAAACCATTATTTATATTTTTTTAAATCTTTTTTTTGTGTATGTACTATATGTTATTCCTGGACCACTTGACCTTTTTTTATTTATCGCTTGTGATTTAATTTATATTTTGAAAGTATTGCAAAAGACTTATTATTGACTTTTAATGAGTTTTTCATGAATATCTGTAGTTGTTTAGTTCCTGTGAGATCTGTATGTTTTTCTTTTTGATTATATTGAATGAATTTCAGATGATGCTCACTAGGCCAGAATTCAAGGCTGGTCTTCAAAAACTCACTACAAGCGTTACAGACTATTGCAAATGAATTTTTAATGGTTCCTTGTTGAGCTTTAGTTTTATCATCCATACATGACAGTCTTGTAGTTATTTTCCTCACAAGACATACGGCCCCACTCATATGCCAAAAGTGATGGAAATATGGCAACCCAAAGATGGAATAATGTTGGAAAGGCAATGGTAAAAGTTCAAGTCTCATGTTTCTTTACATGTGTGTGTGCTGATTTTAGAGCCATATTACAGAGTCTATGTTGTGTGTATCATGACCCTGGTGGATTTATTATGGGCTATACATAATATTGGGGAGGGAGGGGTTGTGTTCATGAACTAATGGTCACTGTAACATAAGGAACCCAAATTGTCTGACGAATGTATTAAAGATAAAAAAAAAGATTTCATGAAATATAGCTGTATTAAATGAACTGTTCCTGGTTGTATGTGTGGTTTCTGATTACAGTTCATTCTTTAATTCTTAATATTTACTAATAGGCCTACATATAATTTAGAAGGATTTTTAAACTCCCTCATTTCTGTAGCCTACAGAACAACTACTTAAATTATATCAAATATATTGTCACAAAGCTAAATTATAATAAAAACATTTTATTGTGCGTGTTATATGTTTAATAGTTTAATTATTTATTAAGTTAATTTAAATAATCAATTGCAAACTGGTATTTGTTATATGATTTTAGGTTATTATCTTAATCATAAACGTTAGCCTACTGGTTTGTAACGCAAATACGTTTACTGCACTATTATTATTTTCGCGGCTAATGAAACGGAAGTTCGCACATTCAAACAAAATAACTTCCGCGTTTGCCTGTCTTGTGTGCCAGATTGTTTTAAATCTTAAAATAAGATGTTGAGCACACAGAGGGTTTAAAATAAATTCAGTTTAAAAGCTGATATTCAACCTTAAGCAAGATTGATCCAACGTTTTTATGTGCCACCTGTTCCAATACAACTTTCTAACGTTAAGAACTTCCTCTCAAACACAGCCTGATGCTCACGCTACAAAAGTCAAATTAATATGATTCACCACCAACATAAAATGACTTGAGGCTTTTGACTTGCACGTTACCAAACCTATACAAACCTCTACAGGTAGGCTACCATCTGAACTGACAACACACTTGGCAAGGTGAGTGACTAGAAACGGTATATTTATAAAATACACCCCCGAGCTCATATTCCATTAGGCTACTTTATGACAATATATTTGACAAAACAGAACATGCAAACGGATAGACAACTGTAATATCTCAATTTCATTAAGAATTGTTTTTCTCCAACACATTATCGTCAGTAGATGGCGCTCACAACACACACACACACACACATAAATGCGGCTTTACTGTTTTTCAAGGCAGTGAAAATTTCCAAGGCCCTAAGATTCACTATTCATTATTAATACACAGTAAATAAAATTGGCATCTAGTGTTTTGGTCGTTTTCCTAAAATTGTACATTGATGGAGCAGTAAATTGATTTACAGGAAATGGCCGATGATATTTGAAAAGACCGGCATATTTTAATTTTAATTAACAGCTCACTAATGTTGTAGCAGTAGTCTGTTATTTTGTTTCCATGAATGTATTTTAATTTGCTTGTTTGAATTTTGAAAAACAAGTTTTAGATCCAGAATAGCATCATAAAATATTCATATAGGCTACGTCTCTGATCTGTTTCTGGACACGTTTGAACCCGTCAAATCCGTCTTCATTGCCAGTGAAATGGCATTTGCCTCCATGGTCACGCAGAAATCGAAGAGAAGGAATTGCAACGGTCTGCGATGGATCTACAGCATCAGCTCATCCCGAGGCAACATTATATTCAAACAGCCTTGATGCTCGAATAATGTGTGAAATTGTGAATCCATTTATCTTGAGGATCTTCATGCGCGGGGCACAGATTCATGAGAGGCACTTCTTTATATAAAAACGTATTCATTTAATGACAAAAGGCGTTTAAAAACTGTGCAATTTTTCTGTCAAAACCAAAGACATTACTGGTCTCAATAGGGCACACTGACAGCTTGTGCTTTGGCAGTGCCAGGTTAAGTGCACAAATATACAAGTACTATTCACAGAGCCATAGAAAATTCTAAATAAAAATCCACGCACAATGTCCTTGTTTTTCGATGCAGGCCATCAAATCATTGTAACACAGCTGGTGTAATATTTCCCGTTAAAAAAAGAGACAAATTTGGGATAAACAAGAAACACAATAGAGCAAACAGATACAAACATATTGAGGCTTATACATTTAGTTGACGCACAAATTCACACAATGTTACTATAATAATAATGGGCAAGAAAAACTGGCCTCTTATTATTATTATTATTATTATTATTATTATTATTATTATTATATTGTCGTTGTTGTTTTTAAATCTTGATCGGTGTTAATTACAAGCAAGAACAACTAGCCTCTATATTATTATTATTATTATTATTATTATTATTATTATTATATTGTCGTTGTTGTTTTTAAATCTTGATCGGTGTTAATTACAAGCAAGAACAACTAGCCTCTATATTATTATTATTATTATTATTATTATTATTATTATTATATTGTCGTCAATGTTGTTTTTAAATCTTGTCATTTCCATATAAAGCGTTTCCAGACAAATGAATGAAATTAAATAAAAACTTGGTTTGTTTTTATCTTTCATATAAAATATCATAAATTATACGAGTCAGTTTTGGTTTCTTTTAGATTTCCTAAACCAGAAAAGGGTAAATAAACAAAAATGGTTTAAATTAAGAGGAGGAAAAATCTGAATAAACAAGCCACTGTCTCAAATCATGGACGCTTTTGGTGCATTCTTATAGAAATTCACTCAAAATGTTAAGAAAACCCCAATTGGGTGGTTACTTATAAAGAGCTGGTATCATTTAATATTATTTATAGAAATAGAAATTTCGATATGGTCCACAGCACTGTGCGATTCTGGGTTTTACTGTTTTCCTCAGGCCTCTGTTTTGCACCAGCAGTGTGAATCCGTGATCTGCATGAAATCGGGCTGCTTTGCCTGTGAACGACACACAGCAGCACTTGGCAGCCTTTGTTGTGACCGAAATGAGACTTTTAAAGAATTGATCACGTTTGCATTTAACAGTGATACTTTTAGATAAGTTAATATAGCTACATGATGTTAATAATAATGTTAATAATAATAATAAATATTATTATTGTTGTTGTTGTTGTAGTTAGATTATTTATTTATTTAAATAATTTAGAGATATTTAGTTTATTATTATTATTATTATTAGGTTATTTATTACCATTCATATATAAAGGCTAATAAAATGCAGACAATCTTAATGAGTATTAAACCTTTTGTGATCGTGACGGAAATAGTAATAATAATAATAATGAAGCATTTGCCATTAATATGTGTAAGAGAACGCACAGTAGACTGCACCAGATTAATTTCAATCAGTAATAAACCTTTTGTGGTCATGAGGGGAAGATGGCGCGCCCCTGACGCCTTTTTTTCACAGCTTTCGGTTGGAAGTGATATGATGCTTTCACAGATCCCCGGATTTGAAAAGAAATCTCTTAAATAAAAGAATATTTACGTTCCCTCTTTAGGTTCAGCCGCGGCGCGTAACGCCTCAGAGCGTGTTTTCTCGCGCCCGTGCCCATATATTGTTCGCGCCACCACGCGCGCTCCGCGCCCTCGGAGGTGCCACACACAGAGACACTTCATCACCGTCGGTCCGCCCCGAGCGGGCTTGTGACCGGGACAAAGAGACAGTCGATTATGTTCAGGCCGCCTCTTTCTCACGGAACAGGTGTCTGCGCGCCGTGGTGAGGCGAGGCGTCCCCGTACACATCCTCGTTCCCGGCCATCGGTCCGTTTTGGGGCGTCATTCGCTTCTCCTTCTGACGCCGGTTGCAGAACCAGACCCGCACCACCTCCTTCTCCAGCTGCAGGCTGTTCGCCAGCGAATTGATCTCCGACGCACCGGGTTTCGGGCACTTGAGGAAATGGCTCTCCAGGGCCCCTTTGACACTCACCTCGATGGAGGTCCGCTTTTTCCTCTTCCTCCCCTG